GCTATGAAATGCGGCTAAAAAAACTTAAGTGGATATAACCGAATACCCGTGCAACGTTTCATCGAAATCGGCGTGCATCATGCACTAAGATTCCCTTGTTAGAAAGATCGAAATAGGTGACACTAAAATTATCGTGGCGGTTAATAACCGGTTCCGCATTTTTTATTTAAACACTTCTGGCACTGCAGAGCCATTTTTGTAAGAAATTATTGAATAAATTTCTTAACCCCTTCACGGCTAAGGGAATCATTTTTGCCTATTTTAAAATTGGTGATTGTCGTATTTAATTATTGATTGTTTTTGGTGCAAAGCGCAATTTGCCAGCACGCAGCATGCAAAAAGCGGAAAAAAATGAAAAGATGTGCAAATTGTGCTAAACGCCGCATAGAAAATAGGATGCTTAATATATGTACTATGTGCAATGATAATCTTTGCTTCACAACCAAAAGAAATTGCTTCGTAATTTTATTCCATAATATTGTATTATTTTAGTTAACATTTTGTTGTAACGAATCAACAAATAAAAGACATTGTATAATAAGACTAACCATAATTTGTGTTACTTTTATAGTCCATTGGGATAAATATTTCCCATAAAATTCCAAAAGAACTACACACTGTTATGTATTTTTCCTTATGATTTTTATTTATTTTACGTCCAAACGAACTATAATTGTTATATTATGTGCTATATTATATTATATTATATGCTATATTATATGCTATGTTATATTATATAATATGCTATATTATATATTATGTTACATTACATTACATTGCATTACATTGCATTGCATTGCATTGCATTGCATTGCATTACATTACATTACATTACATTACACTACATTACATTACATTACACTACATTACATTACATTACATTACTTTACACTACACTACATTACATTACATTACACTACATTACACTACATTACACTACATTACATTACATTACACTACATTACCTGTCTCTTATACACATCTAGATGTGTATAAGAGACAGGTAATGTAGTGTAATGTCTGTCTCTTATACACATCTAGATGTGTATAAGAGACAGGTAATGTAGTGTAATGTCTGTCTCTTATACACATCTAGATGTGTATAAGAGACAGGTAATGTAGTGTAATGTCTGTCTCTTATACACATCTAGATGTGTATAAGAGACAGGTAATGTAGTGTAATGTCTGTCTCTTATACACATCTAGATGTGTATAAGAGACAGGTAATGTAGTGTAATGTCTGTCTCTTATACACATCTAGATGTGTATAAGAGACAGGTAATGTAGTGTAATGTCTGTCTCTTATACACATCTAGATGTGTATAAGAGACAGGTAATGTAGTGTAATGTCTGTCTCTTATACACATCTAGATGTGTATAAGAGACAGACATTACACTACATTACATTACATTACATTACATTACATTACATTACATTACATGCTATGTTATATTATATCATATTATATGCTTCAATAAATTGAAGCACGCGTTACAATAAAAACGGTAAGACGTCTAAATGGCGCTCGGTAGATATAGCGTTAATCGACCAGAAATCCTCGTCGCGGGAAATCGTTAGCACTGTGTGTAACCGGGAACATTGTGACATCAGAATTCGGAGCTGTGCATCGATGCACCCTGCATGCGACTCGATCGATGTACGCGATATCCCTGCAGCGTGGCATACGTCATGCATCGTGCACCAGAGCTCGTTGTTCCCTTCGACTCTTGCCGCCGAGTCTAAGCACGGTTTTTCGCTCCGTTTCGGCACGTTTCCTTCAATGCGACATGTCCCGGGATCTCCTTCTCAGGCAGCCGCCTTTCTCAGCCCTTTCTCTCTCCCCCTCTCTATCGCGCGCGAGCTTGTATTTTTTCCATTCTCCGCTCACGCCCGCCGTCTTCGAAAGGAAATTCTAAAACGCGCTGCCTTTTACCTTGTTCCATACTTCGTTCCTGGACTTCCGACACCTTTCAGCACCCGTTGAACCGGGAGCCCGGTTCTTTTCTGCCGTTACATCCCCGTTGCGCGCGCGAAACATTCCACCCTCCACCCCACCGGAATGCAGTTCACAGGTTCGCGGCTCCTCTCTAGCCCCCCGCGAGGCTCGTCTCGCCCGACATTAGCCAGCCACGGAAAAACCTCGAGCTTCGTCGAATCGGTTCGACTAACCCGGGAACGATCATACGACGCGTAAAATTCGCAATCCCCTCCCACCCCCTCCGGAAAGTCCTCGAAATCGTTGCAGCAATCTTGCTCGCGCGTTCGAATCGAGTTCCGAAATTGTTTCCCCCCTTTTCTGAGACGATCGCTGGCTGAACCGTTGTTCGCACGGTCGCCGAGCAGTCGGCTCCTGCGAGCGAGGAATTTCTCGACGATGCGAAATGTCCGCGATACTTTGAACGCCGCGGCGACGCGACGCGGCGGATGACGAACGGCGGTGGCTGACTGGTCGGTTAATTGTCGGCTTTGTGCTATAACCCGGTTATTACGGTGCGCGTCGTAGTTTAGTTGGGGTGGCGAAAGTCGGGAACGACGGCGAGAGAGAGTTCCGCCGCGTCTCGACGCGCTTTTCGTCGCGACGGCAACGACGGGTTCTTCCGTATTACTTTGGTACTTGCGTCGCCGTCGCGACGGCGAGGCCCGCTCGATGGATGCCGGACACACGTGTCGAAAGTTCGCGGGTGTGCACCGGTCCGCTGGATCCGTGTTCTCGTCCGTGTGCATTTTTATTGGAAAACAGCGGTCCCCGAGCGTTGCTCTTTAGCCGTTGGAACCGGGACGGACCGTCGGAACCGTCGAGACCGTCGACGCCGGAGTGTCCCGGAATTTCATAAAATTGGGAAGCTCCGATCCAAATGAACGTTGGAAGCGCATGCGAGAGTCCGCGTAATATGCATGCAGTCTGTATGCAGCCGGCAACCTGGGGTCGCCGTGGGACAAATGAAATGGCACCCGAACGCGGACGCCCGACATATTAATTCCGTAGCGCGGATGCGACCGTGGAGACCGTCCAAAACGGATCGGGAATGAAAAACATAATCTGCCTTGTACGCAGTCTTTGCGGCGTTCGCGCGAACGCGGACGCTTCCGGTACGTCCGGCAAGTTTAAATGCGAACGGCGGAGAGACAAATACAGTTTCGTTATCTGCTAACGCCTAATGAATAGCGAAACGCTGGACGCTACTGAATAGTAAACTCTGCCTGGGGACGACGACGGGGAGGATAATCAGCGTTATTATATGTACATCTTGACTACACTTAGCGGTGTAAAGTTGTAGTTATCGTTGGACAGCGATCTTCGTGTGTTCGTGGGAAAAATGTGTAGCTGAAAAATCAAATTATGAAGAGGTAAGGAGAATTGAACCCTTTGCACTCGAAACCGAATTAACGCAAAATTTAACATAGCTTTTCCGACCCACGGTTTTTCCATTTTATATGATCCAGTGCATTTTATGAAATTAAATATTGTGACACGTGCAACAGTTACGTTTTCAACAGCTCTTTAAATATAAACAAATTTGATTAATAAAATTATTTTGAGACCTGACATAATAATTTTTAACAGCGCCTCGGAGTCGCCACTCAAGCGCAAAGGGTTAATAATGCTGTTGTAGTAGTTTCAACGTAACGAAGTTATTAATATAGACAATTGACTTTTATTTATTAAAATTTATTTATATATATATTATATATATTTATATATTTATTATTTTATTTATTTAAATTTTTATTTTGCGTTAAGATCCGCGGAAGAGAGTGAAAACGGTAACAGAAGCTGAAAAGAATAAAACAAAGTCGTGGGTCTATGTTAATATATACAGTATGTATATAGTATATGTTATATATAATATGTATAAATATATGTATAAAATATCTATCGTGTCTTTTATATTCTGCATTTTCAGTTGAATAAATTTCGTTTAGGCAGCTTGACATAAATAAGCCAAAAACATAGGGTAAATCTTTACATAATTCTGCTGCTTTAATATCCAAGTGTGATACTTTTGTGACTTCCGGTGAGACTATGGCGTTCCACAGAAAGGGAACTAAAGCGGTGGTCATTGTAGTTAGCAAGTATCCCGTTGAATACGAGGTATCGCCGGTCTCGGCTTTTTAGTTCACGTTTCCGAATACTGGAACACCAGGTACTTGAAAAGTCCTTTTGTCTAATTCGTCATCTTCTTCGTCTTCTCATGTCCCCTCTAAACGCCCATATTTTCCTGAAACTAAACATTTGATCCTGATATCGATTTCAAATTCTTTACAAAATCTTCAAAAAACTATGATAATATTACGGATAACATATATTTGGATCTCTCTCTTTTCAGAGACATTTAATAGATAATGAATATCTTGGGGTGTAGAAATGTTCAGGAGACACTCCTGTATTTATATCATATAAAAAAAAAGTTTATTTATTATTGTATATATGGAGAACGAATGTTTCTTGCCGTTGTTGCCGTAAGATACAATGTAAAGTCTGGCAAGAATCAATTGCTGTTTGGCCAATAGTAGCGCCTCTCGTGACAAAAACAGGAAGCTCCGTTCAGGGTCCGTACAGCGCCAATCAGTAAGTGACAAAACGCTCAAACCTGCAGCCAAATGATGCCGACAGTCGGTTTTGGCTAACAGTTTGAGCGTTTTGCCACCGGGATAACTGGCGCTGTACGTACCCTGAACGGAGCTTCCTGTTTTTGTCACGAGAGGCGCCAAACAGCAATTGATTCTTGCCAGACTTTACATTGTATCTTACGGCAACAACGGCAAGAAACATTCGTTCTCTATATATACAAAAATAAATAAACCTTTTTTTTATATGGTATAAATACAGGAGAGTCTCCTGAACATTTCTACACCTCAAAATATTCATTATCTATTACATTTAAACTTTTATTCTCCAAAAGAGGCGCCACATGTACGCTACAGGATCGCCTAAAAACATTAATTATGGCAAAATTAGGCGTAAAGGTTCTAGAGAATCTGCCACACCGATATCGTGTAGAAAAGCCGAACGACTGTAGAGTGCGCTACGTACGTATTTTATCTATCAATATGGCGGCATTGTTTGCCCCTGCCCCGCGCATAACTCATCTACTGCATCAATGTATGTATACACTTTGGGCTCCGTCCTTTAGATCCATGGTTTGAAATTTAAACTTTAAACGGTAGTAGACACAACATTTTGAAAATAATTTTTTATGGTGTAAAGGAATCTGAGGAGAAAATGGCGTTTTACGATAATGACCACTGGCTCCTGTCACACATCCGCGATAGCTTTTTATTGACAGACAACACAGGTACTCATCTTGTTAAGGTTACTACATGTCAACGATTTTGAATGCGAAGCTCATACGTTTGTTACAAACTTTGTACGATACGATTTAAGGCCAGTGCGAGATAGTAATGGTCGGGGAGGATATCCCTAAACAATTAAAATCGAATGGCACGTTGCAGTGTTATCCTGGCATGGAAGAAAGCGACGACGAAGATCTAGATGGCCTCGGCGAGTCTTACGACGTACAGATGGGTAAACTTTTTCTTTCAAAAAGTTGTCATTCTTTGTTTATGATACAGAGATATTGATATAATGTTTATGTTGCAATAGACATGGAGTATAGTCATAGAGAACGGTCTAATACTGCTAAAAGACTAGAGAAAATGGATCTTGAAAGAAAAAAAGCTGCCAAAGTAAATATAAAGTGGGAGAATAACCCCGCGATATCTCTTACCCAACAATCAGAGTTATTTCAGAGAAAAGACTTTCGTAAAAAGACTGGGCAAATTAGTAAAAGGCAATCTCTTTTATCAGAACAACTGGAGAAATGTCCAAACTTACCGCAAAATCCATTTATGGAATATGCTAAATTCGATGGTAGTGTACGTATGAATGTATCGTATGAAGTTGTAATCATAGTACGTAAATATTCTTGTTTAAATGCGCTTTGTACACAGGCACAAGTTGATATCCCTATCAGAAAGTACAGGATTTTTATGTGTATGCTACCGAAAGAGCACAGAATGTATCCTTTACAAGTAATCGTAGTTGCTACCGCAAAAGTATTGGAGTTCATTGGATTAATTTGTTACAAATACTCGAACGAACATCCTGACCATCCTTTAAAGTGCGAGTCTTTCTCGTACAATTATCTCTATCTATTAAGCTCCTACAATTTGCCCTCCGTAAACATTTTGATATCATGTATTGTTTCCAGAGAAGACATCACAAGATACGGCTTGTATTTCACTGAAGATGACGGCGAAGTTGATTGGGATTTACCGTGCCTAGACCCGAGAGAAACCATTTCAAAATTTGAATTTACGGCACTTGGCCTTACGGAAATGAAACCAAGTGATCGAGCGAGACACAACATGATCACTCGTGTGGAAACGAAAGACGAAGAAAGCTTTATAGAGAGACAGAATAAAGAACAACAAGAAGTTGCAGAGGACTTGGCAAAAATGGAAGGACACACCACTGCCATGGAAGCTCCATTATACCAATCATACAGGCATCTTATTTTATATGTATCGTTGATCTTCAATAGCATTTTACAATTAATTCTTTCGCTTCCTTCGCGCAGGGTATACATAATCAATAAAGTCAGAACAAAGACTGAAATCTGCCTGGGAATCTCAGGTGAAAAAATTGAAATCAATCCAATAATAACTGGCAAAGGTGCTGGGCGATTTTGGAACAGGCAACGCGCAGTTAGCTACCAAATAGACAATATTGCCTGGTGTGAAATTACAGAAACAAAGGGATCAAAGACTATTTTTACGTTAGTTTATACGCCGCATTCTTCTACTTCCGAAAATATCTTAGGTGTGTTTTCGATATTTTATATAACAAATTTGATAATTGAACTTTATTAACAAGTAAATATCTTTGAATAGTGTCATCTGGACAATTCAAAAATCACGAATTCGAGGCAGATTCGATAACTGGCGAGGAGATAGTCAGAAAAATAAATCATATACTTGAATTACACAGTAGTACATCAAGAAAAGAATACTTGTCACAAAAAGAGAGAAAAACAGCTCGGCGCAAAAGTTTTCATTTGCACAGATGACAACTCTACTGGTTTCTCTGTTCCATTTTAAATTATTTAAAACATTAATCATTTCAATGTGATCAAGATACAAACACAAATTTGCTTCAACACAAATATATCATTATCAGTTTCATGGTAATGCCATAAATTTATTTGATCAAAGAAAGAATATTTGTTTCAAATATCTACGAAATAAATAATGTTTTTACATTATTCTGTAATTCATTCAAATCTATATCAATATATGAAAAATATATTAATTCTGTACAAACTCAAAACAATTTTGTTCCTTCTGTCACACATGAACAAATATATTTATTTTACTCTTATAAAAATAGGAAGTCTATATATAAATATTTAATTTTCTTATAGTAATCGCGATATACGTGTGTCTGTGTGTGTGTGTGTGTGCGCGCGCGCGCGTGTGTTTGCTATAATAATATGGTGTGTGTCATGATTTTGTCTTCTCAATAATCTTTTCTGTTATTTTACGAAGTCCTACCTCCATTCTCGAAATAAATTTCTGATTTACTCTGTAAACCATTTGGTTTAGAATTGATAGTTTTACTGTTTTTTCTCGTAACTTTTTATTGTTTTCGTAAATATTCTGATAATTTGGGCGGGCCAAAACGAACGCTCTTTCAGAATCTGTTAAAACAGTTAGATCAAAAGGTTGCCTTTGGCTTTCTAATCGCAATTTCTGGTTCAACAATCTTTTCCGTTCCGATTTCCTTTGTTTCAACATAGTTATCCATTGCTTTCTCTCATTTTTAAGGTTATGTATATATTGTTCAAAATCGAAATCGTCTTCTTGTAATGTTTTTGATGCATAGTGTTTCATGTCATCATTGTCCATAGAGTTCTGATTTTCTGTAAATTTTATATTTTAGGTTAGGGAGGCCGAAATGGCTTCATTGAGCAAAGCAATCGAAAGACCCGAGTTCGAATCTCAGTCCTAATCTTATTTGATCGGGAATCAGGACTATTTCCTGGCACAGGTATATACTAGCTCTAAGGAGTAACATAATCGTTCCCAGCTTTCAAGAAAAGAAAGTAAAATTATTTCAAAAGCTTAGAAAAGTTAGCAAGAAATTAATAAATTTTTTGTTAAACACTACGATCCTATTTTAATACACAATTTAAAGACATTTCTTTATCTTTAAAACTTAAACAATAGAAACTATAAATATGTTGGATTGTACCTAACCTTCACATTGGTCAAAATCAACTATACGACTTTGAAATACAGAAGATCGACGTTTGTGAATTACTCTGTCACTATTCAACGGTATTTCCAAATGCGATGCATCACTATCACAATGTAGGCTGCAGTTCTCCATTTTGATAAATATTTCAACGTAATCTTCTTATACACGTAGCTTGCATCAACAGTAAACGTTCGTTATCTTGTACTTTGAAAACAAAACAATCACAATTCAAACTAACTGCATCCAATTCCGCCATTTAAAAAACTCAGTTTGCTGCCATCTGTGCCAAAACGTCGAAATTAATCAGTACAATAGTTTACCGCTAGATTACACCACAATTATTTTTTAACGTTTTTGTTTCGTTAAATAATCAAATATTAATTACAAATAGAAAAAAATAGTAAGTAATGTTAAACAATTTCATTTATCTAAATTTCTCTATTCTAAATTTCTATTTCTCTATTCATTTCATGAACAGAGCTGGAGGAAAAAATCTACACATGTATGTGCTACATTATTGTGAATGCAAGCATTTGAATTTACGTATTTTATACACGCTGCGACATTTCGTGTATTAATGCGAAATATTGAATTATAAAGAAAAATATATAAAATTATTTAATAAAATACTCGTTTTTTTCAAATGTAATAATTACATGTGTTAAGAGCGAATACGAATGTTTCCAAAGATCATTAGAGATTGTTATTGAACACTCCAGAAATTTCTAACAGTACTGGGGTGTCGTACAATCTCGCAAAGTGCATTCTGTTTGAGTCAGTGCTTGACCAAAACGTCGAAGGATTGATAGTAATTGAGAGTGCAGTACTAAGAGTACGCGAACTATATAAAAACGTAAATTCTATCATAAATTATACTACAGTAAACCTGAGAAACATTTAATTTTTCTCTGTGCTGTTGGATTTGTTTAAATTATACTTGTTGGTCAATTTTTGGAAAACTATGTCTACTAAAGCTGACGAGGTATGGAAAATTTTTTCACGTTTATGAAATTTTTTCGTTTCGTTATGGTAATAAAAACAGCTTCCTTTGTTAAAAAAAACATTCTAGAATTTTTTAAACAATATACGTATTTATGGACATTTTGAATATTCATAGGTTTTTTAGTAAATTTTTGAAAATATGAATGTCGGTTTATTTTATTTTTTCAAATAGCAGCTAACGCTATGAAAAATACAATAGTCCTCTTTTCTTGTTACAGGTTAAATTGGATATAGAAGAATTAGACAAATTGCTTCAGCAAGCAAGTCGACAGAAAGTTAAAGATGTAATTAGTGTTGAGATTCGAAAGTTACAAACAGACTTGAAGAAGTTACAAGAAGATGAGAAAAGTGCACCTATAAAATCCTCCGATGCAACAGTCAATACTACTCAGAAATTTTATGAAGTTAAATTAAATAATTATGGTTGGGATCAAACGGACACATCAGTAAAGTTATATGTTACTTTGGAGAATGTACAACAGTTGCCTAAGGAATCTGTTGTATGCAATTTTACCGAGAAATCTTTGGATCTGCATGTTCTTGGATTAGATAATAAAAATTATGTTTTAACAATTAATAATCTATGCGAAGAGATAGAACCAACCAAGAGTTGTTTCAAAGTAAAGAAAGATATGGTTATTGTTTCTGTTATTAAGAAAGAAATGAAAACATGGTCACACGTGACAGGAATAGAAAAGAGGATAAAAACATCAAAATCGTCACTTCCTGATATGGATGATGAAAGTGACACTGGATCAAAAATAATGAACTTAATGAAAACAATGTATCATGAAGGAGATGATGATGTGAAAAGAACAATAGCCAAAGCCTGGACGGAGAGTATGCAGAAAACAGCTCCTGGTCTGTCAGATCTTCAATTTTGTGACTAAACATACTCTAAGACCATAATTTGCCAGATATTAATGCTTTGGAGATGGAATAGTCCAATTAGAATAGGCAGTAGATCTAAAATGCAAATAAAAAATTTGCATTATGATGGTATCAATTCTTAAAGTTTAATTTACAATTTTTCTTATATATTAGGCTCAGTACGAGTTCTAAAAGCCATCCCCAATGTGTTAATGTACAGAATAAATCTAGACCTAAAATTTCCATGCACATACATTATTTTGATACAATTTTATTTCGTTTTTGTGTATTCTAAATATTACAGTAAAGAGGAATATTTACTAATTTGTGTAAGAGACATTAATTGACTGATATTTGTTTATCCTTAATTAGACTAATTATAACATACTGAACAAATTTTCTATAGACATTGCTGTATCTAAAGAATTTAGAAAGAAAAGAAGTCTTACATTTCTAGACTATGTAATGACTTTTTGGTTCTCCATTCATAGTATATAAACTACATTGTAGTGTACTGCTTACAATAAAGAATGCACAAAACAAACTGCACAGTCTGATTTTTTCCATTTTGAACATAGGTCACTATGATTGAATTGTACTATTTCTCATAACATACAACTACCCAACAATGATACAATTTCACAGTGGTCGCACAATGAAGATTTCTCAATTCTAATTCTCAATTTCTTATTTCTCCTTTTACCTATCCTTGAT